CATCCCTTTGCTGTTCGTTCTTGTCGATTGGTCGTCGACCCTCTCGTTGAGGCCTTCTATTGAGTTAGATCTATTATTGGCCTTTATCCTTGCAAAGAAGAATTTTGTCATTGATTCATTCAGTTCATATTCATTCATCCTTGCCCTGAGTTGAAGTCTTTTGAGTTCCCATTGTTTCCATAAAGTAAGCTCTTCCCGAGATTTTTCGAGGGCTGCTGAGTAGATTGGCGAGGACGGGTTGTTTATCAAGTTTAACTCGGAAATCTTAAGTGTTGTTTCAAGAATTTGTTTTCTTCGCTTCCGATCATTTGCTAATTTCCTAGAGATGCGGGCCACTGATTGAGATAGAGAGAGGTAACTGTCTTGGAACCATTCCCATCTGTCTTGGCCTTCTTGAAACACACCTTTTGAGTTTTGCAAGCAGTCATGAACACTATCTTCAAAAGTCTGGCTTAGAAGGAGAGAGTTGTTAAGATAGTGAAAACTGGCTCCTCTGGATATGTATTGATCAAAACTGAATATCAGCTCTATTGGTTTGTGGTCCAGCCCAGGGTATGATGCAAGATCCAGGATATTCGCGTCCTTAACAGTTCCCATTAAGGATTCGAAGACCAGGAAGTAGTCAATCCGAGAGAAGGCCGTGTGATGTGCATGGTTCTTCTTGACCAGGGAGAAAGCTTTTCTGCCCGGGTACAAGGTACGGAACGGGTTTACTAAGTTGTGGTCCATCATAAATTTGTGGATAAACGCCGCTTCCTGTGAGGCTTGAGTGGATGTTGCCCGGGAGATACGGTCATTGTTCGGGTCCGGGGTAGCATTCCAATCCCCTCCTATGATACAGGCCGAGAGTGGTGTTATTAATTGTCCCACCGTTAGCGTGAACTCTACTCTTTCTGATGGATTGTTTGGTGCGTAGACGTTGATGATTCTGAATTCTTCCTCCTTCCATTTCAGATCCATGAGACACCATCTGCCTGATTCATTGTCTGATTCTCCCCCTTGTACTGATCCGGCCGAGTAGAGACGGGAGGATTTTGGAATGAGAATCGCAGTACCTTTCGTACTAGATGTGTTATCTGATGCCCACACCTCGTCCTTAATGCCGCCTAATTTCCGTGTGAAGTATCTTCTGTTTTTTTTATGGTCCTCTGAGTTAGTGAGGTGGGTTTCTTGCAACATAATAATGTCTGCCAGTTTTTTTTATTGGTCTTTCAGTCCTTTAATTATGTCGTTCAATTTGTTTTCTTTATTTATAATATTCCCAAGACCATTGACGTTCCAGCTACGAATGATTAGGTCTTGTGTTTTCCAGTCAACCTTCAGCCCCTTTGTATTGGCCTCTCTTGTGAGCCTTTCCATGGTTGGGTTTGTATGGTGGCCGTGAAGGGGCTAATATTTCCGAGTCTAGGTGGCGTCTGGTCCCCTGGGTTCCATAGAATCCCCTGATACCCCGGGTGGGTCAGACTGGGTCTCAGACAGGGACTCGTCCAGCTTATACTCCCCAATGCTGCCACTAATTTCTTTGGTCTGGGAATTCTCCATCTTAGCTTCGGGGTCTGTCTCAGTCCAGTCTTCCATCTCCTCTTCAGAGTATTCATCTCTGTAGTATCTCTCCAGGTCTATTGCATATGCCCTGGAATCTAAATCAGCATCCCCGCAAAAAAATCCATCGGTGATCAGAATAGCCAGTGAGGCGGCCTAGAGTTCCGCGGGGATACCATTTCCTGACAGCACACTGTAGGGAATGGCTGTCACCGTGTCCCAGGGTCGCCATCTCATGCCTCCCTTCAATTTAGTACCCTCCGACATTTTTGCAATGAGGGGGGTGAAGGATTTGGGGTCAGACTCGGCCTGGTCCTTCTGGACGCCAGTGAGGTCTGTCTGGTCAGGCTGGTCATCCTGCAGTGCTGGCTGAGTGTTGTCATCCTGCTGGGTTGCCGGGAAGCCCGTTTCAAAAACGCCCAGTGGATATGCCATTGTGATTTTCTCCTGCAGGATGGTTGCCACATTCTGTCCTTCGTCGATCCTGGGGATCGCGAACGACACATCTGTGGCAACCTGCCATTCTCTTGTCTTCTCAACATAGCGGGCAGCCAAGAGTGGACGGGTCCCCATCAGAGTTAGCCTTGCTGATTTGGCTGATTCCAACACATGGGGAGCCTTGCCTTCTGCTATGTGCTTGAGGGAGGTGAATTCAGGTTCGTATACGGTATTCAGTTTCTTGAGCTTGTCTGACTGTGCCTCTACTACCGCAATTTCCTGTTCGAATTCGGCCCTGACTGTTTTTTCTGCACCCTCAAGTTCTGGTTGATTTGTGCTGAAACCTTTTTTTTTTTTATAACTAGCTCACAATTCTAAGAAAGGGCCTAAGTCAAAGAGGAGGAGGAGAGTCCTTCAGGACATCAGTTAAAGTTGGCACGATACAGAGAAGATTAGCATGGCCCCTGCACAAGGATGGCACGCATAAATCTAGAAAAGGTCCAATTAAAAAATAAAAAATAAAAAAATAAAAAAGATTGAGAGAAGGAGGAGAAAGGAGTTAAGACTCAAGAGAATATGCAAACCTGCTTTTTTTCGGGTCTTGACCACATCCCAGTGATCACACAACACAAACAAACCTGCTAGCACTGCCTAGCAGAGATAAAGTTTGCAGTAGAAAGTACTAAAAAGAGCTAGAAAGTTAGTAGAAACAGAATTCAAAGCTTCATGGGGGAAAAAAAAAAGACTTGAAAACAGTGAAAACACTGAAAAGAGCAAAATAAAAAGCTGCAATGGACAGCAAAGTGCTAATCGGCGGGTTTCCAAAGAGACAGACTAGGACAAGGTAGAATTGGCACAGTCGAGAGAGATATACTAATATACTTAAATATAGTCAAACTCACGAAATGGAAATTCAACCCTTCAGATTCGTAGTGCAGCAGCAGAATCTGATAGAGGTTCATCAAGGTGCAGAGAATGCAGTCTAGTATGAGTACCCAGAAATATGGACCAGGCAAGGTCAGTTTGGCTGCCCGTTGTTATTTGGAAGGGTATCAGCCAAGGTTATCAAGCTGAGGGCCTGAGGCGACTATCAGTCCCATAAAGCCCGTTCTTGTTTTCAAGGGTATCAGCCAATGGCTGGGACGGCCATCAGTCCCATAACGGCCGTTCTTGTTTTAAAGGGTATCAGTCAATGGCTGAGACGGCTACAAGTCCCAAAAGGCCAGTTCTTGTTTTGAAGGGTATCAGAGAGGGTTATCAGGCCGCAAAAACAACGGCGGAGACGAGTGGGTCGAGTTGGTTTTCATTGTGTTTTTGGGGAAAGGGTAGGCGCCTAGAATGGAACAGGACTGGAAAACAGGCATGCTCAGCAGTCAATCCTCCCCAAAAGGAGTAATCAATGTTGTTGTGGATCCCTCTGCTTGTAATGAGAAAGAGCGTACAGTGGGTATACATGTATATTTGTAGGGACAACTGTGACTTAGTCAAATAGAACTCTTGTAGGCAATGGCTTTTTTAGGCAAATAGAATTCTCATAGGCAGTTTAGGTCCGGCCTTAAGTTCCGAAAGGCAGGCAGAAAAGTCGTGCCGGCGAGTTCTGCAAGCATTTTTGTCATTGAGGGACCATGCGATCCACTTGGCAATGGGGCAGCAGAGGTCAACTCGCTTTTGGATGATTGGATCCGTGCAGTGAGGCCCCTATTTCGTTGGGCCGTTCACTGGGACAAAGCCACTCCTTGGAAACAGGTTTTCCCAACATGTTTGCCTCTCTCTCTCTCTCTCTCTCTCTCTCTCTCTCTCTCTCTCTCTCTCTCTCTCTCTCTCTCTCTCTCTCTCTNTCTCTCTCTCTCTCTCTCTCTCTCTCTCTCTCTCTCTCTCTGCCTCTTCCCCTGTCAGTGTTCCATGGTATGGAGGAGAAGGGGAGCTTGATCGTTGTATTAAAATGTGATAATTCTCCCCCCTTTGTCTTCTCCGTTGTTTTGATTGCCCTCCATCGCGTTGTAATGCTATATCGGCATTATTTCTATCGCCCCAGGTTTATTTAGCAGTGTCATTTTTTTATATAACGCCCTCAACGTCGTTCACATCGTAGCATCTCGAACCTACCAATGACCAAACTGGACCCAGCTGGCAAACATCAGGGTTTCATCATTGTGGCATCAACCCATACGTCTGCTGTTATTTTCCCCGTCCTAACAAGAGATGCATTTTGAAGAAACAAGTCAAAGTATCGGGGCATTCGATCAAGCACCCCTCAAGCTAAACTCTGCCTCACGCCCTGACACAACCCCACAGCAAACACAGCGAGACACACAGAGAGACACACATAGAGACATACAGAGAGAGAGAGAGAGGCGTAAAAATAAGCATATTAAAATCACCCAAGCCTCAAAGTCTGCTTTATAGCATTCTCTGTCCTGTAACAATTTGGTTGACACACCGCAGCAACCACCGAGTCGTTAATCGGTGCTCCTCCTGTCTAAATCCAAGAATGAATCAACATCATCCACCTGCCATTGCTGCAAGGTTGTCCTTCTTACTGCATTCTGTAGTAATCGACTTTGCAATAGTGTTCACTTCCTTCTTGTCTGGCAAGGACTGCCTCACAAGAAGGAAGCCCATTCTTCCAAATAAGTCAGTCGTGAGAAGCCTATTCTTCGAAGATCAGTCGTCAGAAGCCTATTCATCTAAGTGGCATCTTCGAAGATCAGTCGTCAGCTGGCGTCTTTGATAAGGCAAGTGCCTTCCATGCAACAAGCTCAGTGGTCAGAAAAGCCTAATCCTCTAAACCCTCCGTTAATGGAATGATTGGAATCTGAAAGTTCCTTGTCTGATCGCAGAAGCTACAGATGCCTTTTCTGCAATAAGATCGGCCGTCCGAAACCCATTCTTCTTCTGAATAGTAAGTACTTATTGAGTCTTACTCTATAATATAATAGGCAATTTCCTTTTCTTGCAGAAAGCTCGGGGCGACGGCCTTGAGATATCATCGTCGAACTGACCGGCCCTGGCTATTCAGAACAGCCCTGGGTATTTTACTAATCTGCTTCCACTGGAGTTTGAACTCAGGTCTACATTTCAACAGTTCAGGGATGTAACCAACTGAGCTAGCCCAGCTGGTACCCAAAAGCTATTCTTCAACAGTACATAGTACATACCCAAAGCTATTCTTCAACAGTACTTACTACATACACAAAGCTATTCTTCGACAGTTGAGGGATGTACCCAAAGTTCCAAGCTCTGACAGATTTGTCTGACAATAATAGTCTGCAAGCAGTGCAGAGGCCTTTTTTTCTGCAACAGCCTTAGTCATTAGGAAGCTGCTCTTTTATGCAATTCCATGTCATCCTTGAAAGCGCAGGGGCCATGCTGCTAATCTTCGTTCTCTGTATTGTTCCAATTTTAAGTTTTAACGGATATGCCAAACGACACTGGGGAGATGCTCTATTGAGAACTTCCCTTGATGATGGAATCTGCAAGCGCCTTTTCCTCAACAAGCTCAGCCGTCGTCGCGTCCAATTTCTCTTTGGAGAAGGCGTCGATCTTCAGACCTGCAATTTTTGTAACACCCCTGAACCAAATAAGTTGCCCGAGATTTCAACAGACCTAGCTCAGTTGGGGTTACACCCCTGAACCGTTGAGAATTGAAATAAAGACCTGCGGTCAAATTCCAGTGGAACTAGATCTCTGGCCGAAAGAGACATCAAAAAAAAAAAAAGGAGAAAGAAAAAAAGTTGCCTGAGATTCCAGATTTGATCAATGCACATAAGTTACCTCAGGCAAAAATGGACCATTTGAACAATTTCTCGATTGATGCGTGTGATTCTTGCGCAGGGGCCATGCTAATCTTCTTTCTCTGTATTGTTCCAATTTTAAAGGATGTCCTGAAGGACAGGCAATTGCAGTTCTTTATTTTATTTTTACTGTTAAAGGATGTCCTGAAGGACAGACAATTTCTCGATTGATGCGTGTGGTCCTTATGGCCCTGCCTCCACATATCCATTCTGGGGAGAGTCAGTCCGGTTCCTGTCCCCCCAGCAAGTCAAAATACTAAAATAGGAAGATACATAACTAAATGATAATTTACACAAATACGCATGCTTCCATTTAGCCGAAGGATCCCTGATCGGCATGGATTGCCCCCTGTTGCAGGAGGATTATTGACTGTCCGCTTGCCCTTCTCATGTATTCCTTTCAGCTTTGACATTTTCAATCGCGGCAACAAAATGCATGATTACTGTCAGATTACATTCATAGACAAGCTCTCATTAGCTAGCTAGACAACTATAGAAAGCTCGATAAACAACAACAGCACGAGATTTTCATACAAATGTTGATAAATTTGTGTATCAATTGGTGTACCTTCCAATTCTCTAAAAGCAAAGACTCGAACATCTCACGACAAGCCACCCAGCTCTCTGTGGCTATTCCCATCAAGAATCACAAGACGGCATCCTTCCATTCTTGAGTTCGTATAAACATCCTGACACCTCGTCATCCACCGATGTGGCAATCCTTCTGTCCATGGCCATCTTGCTGGGCTCAGGGACCTCTCTGTCTGGCAGTTCTGCCTTCAGTGGGCTGTCGGTTGATGACCTGGAGAGTGCCAATTCTTCCACCTCAAAATGCCATTGACAATGCATACGATTTACTTCAATTCTTTGCACAGAGGCTGCGCTAATCTTCTTTGTGTCATTTAAAAAAAAAAAAAAAATCTCTGTGTCGTTCCAATTTAAACGGATGTCCCGAACGGCCAGATCATTGCACATAAGTTGTCTCAGATCTTTTCTTTTTCTTTGTCCAAGTTTGTTGCAGATTATTGCACATGAGCTGTCTAAGGTTTCCTATTTCCGAATCACATGTATCATCAATGTGAAAAGCAAAGAAGATAAACGCTGCATGGCCAAATGACCCACAAGTCACATATACATGTGAAATGTGTGGAACCCGTTGAGCTGCAAATGCAGGCACTCCTTATACATGTGAAATGTATGGAACAGAAGGTACAGAAAACAGACAGTACTGCAGAAGCAGAGAAGGAGTACAGAGCTGCTGGAGCAGAAAAGGGGATTGTGGAGAGATGGTTAATGGAGATCCGTTAACCAGGGCTGACAGTGGGGCTCCCTATTAACCACATGGCAGATTCGGGGTACGGATAACAACAGAATAATATGCACAGGAAAACAGAGACACGTACCGAAAATGATAGGTGAGAGAAAGAGAGAGAAAGAGAGAGAGAGAGAGAGAGAGAGAGAGAGAGAGAGAGAGAGAGAGAGAGAGAGAGAGAGAGAGAGAGAGAGAGAGAGA